CCCCCCCCCCCCCCCTCCCCGTTGCAGTCGACGGCAGCGGCTTCATCAGCTCTCGTGAGCTGCTAGATGCCCAGTGAGTCTTCATGCGAGATAAGGGTTGAGGGTTTAGGGTTTAGAGGTTTAGGGTTTAGGGGTTTAGGGTTTAGGGGTTTAGGGTTTAGGGTCTAGGGTTTAGGGTTTAGGGGTTTGGGGTTTTCTGCACACAGGGCATCGGGTTCAGGCTTGGGGCATGTAGTAGGTTTAGGGTCTACGGCTGATGACTAGGCTTATAGGGTTTCGGGCATTGCTGCGCATGTTAGCGACTCAACCTGGAGACGATAATATGGCCTGAGACAGGTTCAGGTTTGAGGGAACACATGTGCAGATACCTGCTTGCGTGCTCATTATTTTGTTCATTGCTTCCACAACGATCAAGATGTAGCCAATGATGAGACAGCGTGTTCAGCGCTCAGGATTGTGGCTCTCAGTACCAAGGGGCCAGAACCAATGGAGCCCGATGAAGCCTGCAGCTCAGCAGGCCGATTTGACTCAGAAATCTGCAGCCGTCCGGAGTCACCTAAACCCCAAAACCCAGATGAGGTGAAGAAAGTTCTCGGGCGAATCGATAAAGATGGCGACGGAAAGATGAACTTCAGGGATCGGCCGCCAGCGTAGATTATGACGCACTATTTAGTAATTAGGGTTTAGTATCTCATGGCTTTTGGTGTTTCTGTTGAGATAGCAGCTAGTCCCCGCAGGAGTTCTGCAAGATCATGGACGGCTAGGAGATGGATTCGGTGAGCCATGGGGCTCCTGGAGCGCTAGGAGCTCATTGTGGACGAGGCCACAGGAACGACCCCGCCCGGAGCAGCAAGGAGCGACCTCCATTAAGGGCCGACATCCGAGGGCGCAGAAGCTCCCAACTAATGCCTACCGTCACGTTGGACCAGAGTGGAAGGGAGAGCCGTGTCGCGAAGTTTGGGCTGGAAAATGCTGAACGCGCCTGCTTGGAATGCTCATGCTTCATACATCAGCGAAGGCAGTGTGAGAGCAGCATCCAATAGCGGCATGGTACTCGTCGTCGTAGTTTGCATCTGCATGATCACTGACTTCACGATGGTCATGGAGATCTTCGTTTCTCAACCCCACCTCGACACACATCATGATGATGATCATCAGCGTCGTCATCATCATCACCATCACCACCATCATCATCCTCCTCATCCTCATCAACACCATCATCATCACCAAGGCCGTCATGACTGCCATCGTCGTCATCATCATCATCATCATCACCATCAGCATTTTCACCACCATGAGGATCGTCATCACCATTGCCACCTTTGTCACTGCCATCACTGGTTCCACGATCGCGACCTTGAGGGTCATGGATCACGACTCTGCTTCTGCTGTTCTGCTCCGAGATGCTAGACTAGCAGGGACCGCCGACCCACACGGGTTGGTTTTCACAGAACCTTACTCGTATGCAGAGATGGTTGTGGACCATCCTGGCGATTCCCCTCAGTTGGGGCTGGTCATGGGAGTCTGGCTCTGCTCAAATTGATCGGGACCATCCTCGCTCTCTTGCTTTCACAGAGGTGTCAGCGTCTGGATCCCTGGTTCAGAAGAGTTATATGCGCCACGGTTTCGACTACAACACTGATGCAGACTCGGCAGCTGCGGCAGATATGTATCAGTTGACCCTGCTGGATGGTGCAGAGACGGCGACAAGCCAGGAGGCGATTGTCACGCATGTTTGTGGGAAAGACTGGGCTCCGGGAGCTTTAGCACTGGCCGCCTCCTTGAGGGCAGCTGGAACTTCGCGGAACCTGGTGTTGATGGTCACGGATACAGTCGGACGGCGCTACCAAAAGCTTTTCGCTGCAGTCTTCGACAAGGTGTATATAGAGGAACCAGTGAAGCCGCATGATAGCATCACCAGGGACGGTGCTGATTGCGTAACGCTCCAGCTACGCGCATGGGAGCTGCCGTACAAAAAGGTCCTTTACATGGATGCTGATATCATTGCCCTGAAGACTCATGATCCGGTCCTTGATAGTTTCGGAGAGCTAGCGGCCAAAACGGATGCTGGGCTCACAGAGCAATTCAACGGGGGCATGTTTGTCTTGGAGCCTTCAGACGAGAAGTTTCATCATCTGCGCCAGCTCTTGAAGAAGGATTTCGCAAGGAGCGGCAGCAACGGGGGGATTCAGCAGTTCCTGAACTATGCTTTTCCACCCTGCGACAAGGCCTCGATGGTAGGTTGTTGGGGCGGCAAGATGGAAGATACCTACAACAAGTTCACCAGGGACGTCAGCAAGGGAGACCTTGACTCGGAGAAATTCGCAGCTCGGTGAGCTTGGAATCACCAGGGGGAATGCCAAGACGTCTGAGACATGATAGTAACAACTTAGAAGTAATAACAGCATGGCGAACATCCCACAGGAATCGCAGCAACTTCCTTCGATGCATGTGGGTCGTGGCTTCGAAGTGTTATGGTGTGCCCGTTCTTCCGGTTCGGTCAAGTGTGGCTCTCCATGCCGGTGATGCTTCAAGTAGACATGAGTTCTCAGCAGACAACCCTAAGCCCTAAACCCACACAAAGACCCGAGGCTCCTCATACCCGAGTCCAAGCCTTCAGCCTAAACCCCAGTTGTGTGGGCTCTTCTTTCGGCTATGGGTGTCATGTGCAGCGCGTGAGTTGCGGCCACAACCTGGGTGTTTGGGTTGGATAAACAAGGAATTACATCACAATGTATGTCGCTATATTATGAATGCTATGTCCGTTTCCAGTGCCACAATGACCCAGTGCTATCACGATTACTATAAATGTCATTACTACTATCACCGCCACTAATTTCATTCGTATTGCTAGCAAATCAATAGTTCCCTAAATTTTTGGGACCTGAGCGGGACCCTACTTTAGAGAACGACCCAAATAAAGTGGCTTCAAGGCTCCTGAGGGTTCAGGCTAAGACTCAGCCAAGACGGCATTCTGCGACAGCAGTACTTTTCAGAACGGCCCTAACCCCTAATCCCTGAAACCAAAGCCCAAAGCCTCAGGAATTCTCGGCCCTAAATCCAAGAAGCCTAGGCCCTAAGGCCAAAATCCTGAAGCCTCAAGCCAAGAGTCCTAGACCGTAAACCCTAAGCCCTTTAACTGGATTGGCAGGCAGAAAAGCCAAAAAGAAAGAACAAACCTAGGCCCTATAGACCCCAACCCCTAAACCCTCAAGGCCCCTAAGCCCTAAACCCTAAACCCTGAACCCTAAACCCTAAACCCTAAACCTAAACCGGGGGAGACTCCACGAGTCGAGGCAAGCCTCCACTTCAGCGGTGACTGGGGAGGCTCCAGAAAGCCTTGGATGTCCGGCTGCTTAGCCCAATCGGACTCCTCCACGCACAAGGCCGGATCTCTCCAGAGCAGCTCGGCAGAGGGGAGAGAGCGTCGGCTGCAGAATTTTTTTGGGGGGTTTGGGTTTAGGGCTTGAGAGTTTTGGGGCTTGGATGTTTGAGGGTGTCGGTTGGGCCTATTCAAAGATTTTGGTTGACCACCCTGGAGAACGTGAACTTCCGCATCCCATAATCCCCCAAGTCCGAAACCGTGAGTTAGGTCCCAAACCCGAAACGCTAAATCAACAAAACTCCCCCAAAACCCTGCAGCCCCCGAAACTTTCGACCAACTCTTGAGGTAAGCTGCTGCAGATATGGATGGATGCCTTTCACCAGGTGCATGCGCCGGAAGGTCTTGAGGACCTGCTGCACACAGACTGCCCAGGCGAAGAGAGCTGACCCGCTCTCGGCAAAAGCGATTGAAGATGTACATGACCTCATATATGCAACTCTCTCTCTAAACATATTATAGGGGAAACAATATTTTTTCCCCTATAGTACATTACCTCATATATGCAACTCTCTCTCTCCCTCTGTGTCTCTCTCCCTGTTCTCTGTCTCCCTCTCCCTGTCCCTCTGTGTCTCTCTCTCTCTCTCTCTCGCGCGCTTTCGCCCTCTCTCTGCTCACTGTCTATGGTAGTGTGTGCAATTTTCATCATCCGAAATGTTTCCTAAGATATGAATGATGGCATAGCTACCGTAGCAACTTCGACAGGACCCAAGGACGGGGCACATCTCCGCCGCCAATCGGCCCTGCATGTTGATTGCAGTTCACGATGTAGTGTAAACCTCAATAGGGCAATAACGGCAGCGGCTCTGATACCCTAATGAAGCCCTAAGCCCTAAACCCTTAAAGCCCTAAGGCCTAAGCTCTAAGTGTCGATGGGCACGCGCTTGCCGCTTGCAGCCCGAAGCTCCGAAGCTCACCAGCCCAGAATATTTTAGGTTTAGGGTTTAGGGTTTAGGGTTTAGGGGTTTAGGGTTTAGGGTTTAGGGTTTACAAATTCCCGAGGGCCGTGAAAGCAGCGGCCCTACTCTTAACCCCGCGTCCCTAGGCACGAGATATCTCGGAAGAGAAGATAGGGCCCCAAGTGCACAAGGGCTCCCGAAACTCTAAGACTTGAGGGCTTCGGTTACCCTTTCCTTCAAGCCATGGCTGCACCAAGCAGAAGACTGTAAAGGTAGCTGGCAGATGCACATGCGATTGCAGCCGGGACTGTTCTGTCAACGATGGAGCCTGGACAAAGGAAGTCGATTGCTCTGACCAAGTTTCAGCAGGCGGGTAAGGCCACAATAGATAAGATCAAGAAGCAGAAGTCCGAATCGAAGGTGCCCAAACAACAGGGCTTCGATGTGGTGCAGATCGGAAGTCTTCTCTTTGCGGCTTGGATAGTGCTGTGGATAGTGGCAGCCTCCGTAATATCTGCCGTGTTCTTCGTGCGCTACATTGGCATTGTCGAGGACAATCAGGCCTGGTACCTGCACCACGGCGCAGCACGTTCTGCGGCGGCAGAGACCACTGCCGTGCTGCAAGCTGCCATTGAGGCGAAGGAAGCATTAATTGCCTCGATCAATTTCGGGCTCATCAAGACAAGCTACGACTACGCAGCAATTGAAAGCACCCTAGCACCAACACTTCTGCTACAGCCCTTCGTGCGCACCTTTGACATTACCTTCTCCGACAGAACTGCCGCGCTCCATATCCGGCATCAGCCGGGAGAGGGAGGACGGCAGCTGATTCTCCAATCAAACGCGGAAGACTGCTACCTGCTTGGAACACAGGACGCCAGCTGGCCAAACTTTCATGTCCATGTCCATGTGCACGACACGAAGAGCATCAATCTGACTGTCTGATGCGGTCAGGGCTGCGCAGACCTTGGGGTACAGCCTCAACGCTTTCCAGCCCGGTCCCAAGACACGGCACAACTTCTGGCTGCTAGTGTTCGGCACATTTCGGCACCCGGCAAGCCGTTCCAGTAAGAGATGTACCTGCTTTCGCCTGGTTCCGTGCGGACATTGCATAGACAAAGACACGGAAGCAGAAGCAAGCAGAGCATCAACCCCAAACCCTAAGCCCTAACCCCCCAAAGCATTGGTCCCAAGCAGTGCCTGTGCTGGCCAAGGCTTGGCACACAGACGCCATGTTCCTGAACATGAGTTTCGAAGGCCATGAAGTGGCGATTGAGGGCTTAGGAGCTCGAAGTGAAGCGGAGATATTCCTTGGGAGTTCCTTCAAGGGATCTATCGGTGTTCTGAAAAGTGCGCGATAAGGTGTACGGTATATGGTAACGGTCCTTTGTGGGCTCAGGTTTCGTGTGCATGTGACGCCGTTTCGAAAGCCCGCATCTTGGAACTACCGAGAGTAGAGCTTGATCTTCGTGGTAAGCACAAC